ATACAAAAAATACAGATTACAAAATAAATGAGAAAATACAACAAAAATACAAAAATACAAAAATAAAAACCAGAATAAACGGATAAAACGAAAAATACAAAAGCCAGAATAGAATAAAAACACAAAAATCAGAATAAAGAGGACAGGAAAAACACAAAAATCAGAATAAAGAGGACAGTCGGAAAAACACAAAAATCAGAATAAAGAGGACAGTCGGAAAAACACAAAAATCAGAATAAAATAAAACACATATTCAGAAAAATACAAAAATCAGAAATAACCTAATTTACTTGCCTTAAACCTATTAAATCCTAACCTTAAAATTTAAACCTAAAATAAAAACTATTTAAAAAATTAAAAATAATTTACATTTTTCAAATAATTTATTAAAACAAAAAATATACAAAAATAAATTAATTAAAAAAAATAAAAGTAAAAAAAAGAGAAAAGTGACGATGGCAATGACGACTAGAAACAGGAAGGCAAACAAATTGTGTGTGTAAAAGGTCTCGATTAAAGTAAATTGAAAAAAAAATTTTTTTTGAGAAATGCAAGGTGCGAGAAAAAATGGGGGGAGGAGGAAGAAGATGAAGAGAAAATTAAAAAAAATATAAACTTGAAAAGGAGCGCAAATAAAAAAATAAAATAAATAAAATTGCAAAAATAAATAAATTAAAATTAGTTGGTGTCCTAATATACCAATTTGACGAAAAAGAAGAAAAAAATGAATTTATTGATGATGATATAAAAAGTATTTTGTGATCTACACTCAAAATTCTGAATAAAAAATAAATACAAGAGAATAAAAATCAGAATTAGTAAAAGTAAAGAAAAATACAAAAAATTCTGAAACACAAAATTCTGATCAGAAAAAATACAAAATGAAATAAAGAAAATACAAATATATCAGAATTAATTATGTAGAAAAGGAAAAATACAAAGGAAAAGACAAAGCTCAGAATTAATAAAATAGAAAAATACAAAAAGATAAAGATCAGAATTAATAAAAGTTGCAAAGAAAAACACAAAAATCAGAATTATTAGAACGGAAAATACAAAAGAAATAAAAATCAGAATTATCCAAATAGAAAAAATACAAAAAGAAATAAAATCAGAATTAATAAAGAAAATACAAAAATCAGAATTATATTAAAATAGAAAATACAAAAAAATATAAAAATCAGAATTATAAAATAGAAAAAATACAAGAAAATATAAAAATCAGAATATTAAAATTCTGAAAGTTAAAAACACAGAAAAAATACAAAAAAATACAAAAATCAGAAAATTAAAAAATACTAAAACACAAAAACAAAAGAAAAATCAGAATTAAAAATTAATAAAACAAACAAAAACACTTAATTAAAAACAAAACAAACCCTATTAAATAAAAATAAAAAGTTTAAATAAAATGCCCAGAATTTAATATTTTTGAAGAAAAAAATATTAAAAGGTTTCTGCAGGCAGCGCAGTCTGAGTCCACACGTCAAAAAATTGAAGGAATGTACAGCTTCGGGCAATTGTCAGCAAATAATCGATCGGGCAAAGAAATTGGAAGAAGAGACGAGTAATAATAAGTGTGTGAAGCAAATGATGTGAAAAAGGCTAAAAAAATAAAGAAAAGAGCCGTCAAATGTGCGCAAGTTGCGGTGAAATTGTGTTGAGTTGTTTGTTTGTATCGATAGGTTTATAGTGTGTATATTGCTTTCTCTTTTTTTTTAAAATTTATTTTTTGATGGTGATTCACAGTTTGAACCGTGTAAAAAATTTAAAAAATTTTCAAAAAAATTAAAAAAAAATTTTCGAAAAATTTTTTTGTGGTTAAGTTGGTAGTGTGTTAGACTTGACTATCTTTTGGGTGTAAGGTTCGAACCCGCTTGCCGTCCACCCTTTTTTAAATTTATTTTTCGATGGTGATTCACAATTTGAACCTACAAAAAAATTTTCAAAAAAAATTTTGGGAAAATTTTCGAAAAATTTTTGTGGTTAAGCTGGTAGTGTGTTAGACTTGACTATTTTTTGGGTGTAAGGTTCGAACCCGCTTGCCGCCCATACTCTTGGCAATATTTATTTAGCTTCTCTCAGTTATAAAAAAAATTATAAAAAATTTTATTTTCCATTTTAATAATTTTAAATTAAATTTTAAGAGTAAAATTTTTAAATTTAACAAATTTATAAACTCGAAGGCTCTGATGTTTTTGACGAAAGATGAAGCGAAACCATTTCCTAAACTGTTCAGATGTCTGCTCAGAATGTCTTTAGGTCATGATTTCGATCATTTCGAATTCCTTTAAAAATATTAGAACAATTCCAAGCAAATCCAAATATTTAATGTCAAAGTGGTAAAAAACAATTGGGTCAGAAATTGCCAAGTTATTAAGCTCTGCCGTTGAATCTACAGATTTTAACAGTGATGAAAAGCAATCAGAATCGCTCAAAATCATGTCGAAATGGTAAAAATCGATTGGGTCAGAAATTGCCAAGTTATTCCAGCCTTGCCGTTAATCAACAGCTTTTTAACGTTGATTAAACAAATAATTAATTTATTCACCAAACTATAAAAACTAACTAGCTTTCACCCCTTCTCTTTACCAACTTTCAATTAAAAAAAGAATTTAAATAAACAAAAAATAAAGAATGTGTATAGTTGGCATTTATTCAACACTCTAACTCTACTTTTATACAATTTTTTCTCTTTTTCTCTAATCCCTCAACTATTCCTTTAATCTGCCCTCCATTAAATTGTTTCACACACACTCCTAGTCAGTTAAAAAATTCAATAGTCTATTTAGAAAAAATTCTAACGCGAATTGACGACTAAAAATTGAGCTGCAATTACAGTAGGAAAATATCGACCGCTGCAAAGAGACTCACACACAAAGGGTAGAGAAGCTGCATCTTTTAATGTCTAGTTCTGCCAAATTCGGATTTCGACCAAGAGCATTAGATGTGACCAGAAGACTTCCTATCCGGATTCGAAAATGTCGAAAAAGAAGCCCCAAGATCAAAAGAACCGTGGCAACGGCTCCGACGGGTATGGAGAAGGAAGAGGAGATGGTTGGTTTTCTTGTTAAATAATGGCTGCCACTGTCTGCTTCTCTAACTTTTCTCATGTTTCCATCACTGTCTCTCTTTAACTGACAGGGCAGCCATTCGCGGGGTGTTTGGGCGTCTTAAAAATTTTAATTTAAATCAAGGATCATTTCAAATCATTTAATCTCTTTGGGAACTCGCACAAGCATTTTCGATTCCAGAGGCCCCTAAAATTCCGTTTTTGTCTTCTTCCTTTGTTTACGCCCCAAAAATCGATAAATGACACTTTGTCCCATTAAAATAAAATTTAAACAGAATGCCAAATTTTTCCAAATTTAATTTTTCTTTTTAAAGGAATCACATTTGCAACAAGCTATCCTCGCACAAAAAGCTACCTCAGCAGGAGATTCAGTCAAAAATCATGTAATCCCTACGCCCAAAGTGACATCCCTCAGAGATGATGAATACAACAGAATATACCCTCAAGATAGGGGGTTTCCAAAAAACAAAAAATTAATCGTTTTTAATGGTTTCTTTAATTTTTTCTTTAAATCTTCAATTTATTTTAAAGATTATGTCCCTTTCTTTCTTGCTCAAAGCAGTTACAATGCCGATTCTGAAGACGAAGAATGGCTCAATTCTAGAAGGAATATTACTATTGATGATTTTGAACATATCATTGAAAAGTTGGAAATATCGTCTCAAAATGATATTATTAGGCCGAGGTAAAATTTAAAATTATTTTAGGGAATTGGGGAAGTTTTTTGGGGTATTAGGTGACCTGAACTTTAAAAATATGTTTGTTGGCGACTAGAGGTCGAGATTTTTGAAAAGCCTGGGCCTGGGTGAGCCGGATCCTTGGTCTGTAGTCCAGGAAAACCAAGGAAGGTAATAATGCCTGGGCCTGAGCCGGGTCCTTGGTCTGTAGTCCAGGAAAACCAAGGAAGGTAATAATGCCTGGGCCTGAGCCGGGTCCTTGGTCTGTAGTCCAGGAAAACCAAGGAAGGTAATAATGCCTGGGCCTGAGCCGGGTCCTTGGTCTGTAGTCCAGAAAAACCAAGGAAGGTAATAATGCCTGGGCCTGAGCCGGGTCCTTGGTCTGTAGTCCAGGAAAACCAAGGAAGGTAATAATGCCTGGGCCTGAGCCGGGTCCTTGGTCTGTAGTCCAGGAAAACCAAGGAAGGTAATAATGCCTGGGCCTGAGCCGGGTCCTTGGTCTGTAGTCCAGGAAAACCAAGGAAGGTAATAATGCCTGGGCCTGGACTCTGGGTACAGGAAAAACCCAGGCCTTGGTCCAGGTCCAGCTCGATCTCTATTGTCGACCGATTTTCTCCCGTGATTGCTGAGATGTGGAATTTTAAGAATTATCCCTTTTCTTAAAAATTTAAAATTGTTTACTTTTTTGGGAGGGACAACCATTTAAGATGAAGATAATTACACCCACATCTTTAAAAAAATTTTTTTTAAAGGAATGCCAGAGCTTTATTATCACGGTATGATTTTGGATTAGTCGATGATGTATATGATTACTGGTTACAAAAACGACAGGTTTGGAGGAATAAATTAATATTATTTTTGGAATAAAATAAAAGGAAGACTTTCCCCAGATCCTTCCCTTGGAAAAAATTTTGGGAAAAAATCCCTTTCTGAAAATCTTACCGGATCATTTTCATTTTTGAAAAAATGGTCATACTTTTCTTGGATGGTACAACCATTTTTACGAAAATTAAAATAGCATTAGTCCATTTTTAATTTAAAAATTTTTTGAGGACCATTTTTATGGATTAGGACATAAAGATTCACTAGATCAACTCCCCGCTCAAAATTTTATTTTCCCTGGGAGGAACACCATTTATAAAAAAATAAAATATGAGGACCTGAGGGAGGGGAGCGAAGACTCAAATTTTTCTCTCGTCTCCTTCAGGTCCCAAAATTTATTTTCCCCAATTTATTTTTCTTTTTAGAAAGCAGCATCATCCAAAAAACATCCCTGTCCTCGTCTATTATCAAAAATATATTCAGAAATCAGCAACAGCAGTCGAAGAGACGATAGCAAATCTATCACAAATCCATATATTGCCTTTCGTAGAAGGCTTGACAAAGTCCAAACACGCAAAAAACAGCGAACAGAATTATCAACTTATGAAAAATTGCTTCAAATAAATTTTGTAATGAAACGTTCAATTGTACTAACTGGGATAATGGCACAAAGAGAAAAATTGAAAAAAGTTTTGTTTGATTCTGAATTTGATTTGTTTAAAATGAAAATTTTGGAATTACAAAGAGAAAAGGGAAGGAATGAAAATGAAGAAAAATTGGAAAGAATTCAAGAAGAAATACAACAACAACAACCTTCAACTAGTGGAATAAATGATTCAGAATTTATTTTATTAAAACAACAACAACAAAGCTCAAGTAGAAGAAATAGTTCAAATTTAGATTTTATTAAGGATGATAAAACTATACAAAGAAATATTGAGGTTATTATTTATTTCGTTTTTGAAATACAACTTTTGGCTCTACTCCAGTTTATGCGTCCAATAAAAAGAAAATTGGATTTTTCTTGGTAGTGTAAAGTTGGGGATGGCTCCAAACCATTTCTTCATGTTCGGGACCTACGTCCACTTGGTCTGGGACCGTTCATTACCCGACTCCTCGGAATTTCTGAAAGTTATAATCGTTTTTCTGAAAATTTAAAAAATTGGCTGTAACTTTAAAAAATTCCGAGGGATAGGGTAAGAAATGGTCCCAGACCCAGTGGGCGTAGGTCCCGAACATGAAGAAATGTTGTGGAACCATACCCCAACTGTGCAATACCAAGAAAAATCCAATTTTCTTTTTATTGGACGCATAAACTGGAGTAGAGCCCAACTTTTTTGGTGGGAGGAATAAATAGGGGAAATAGGAAATTAAAGTTTTTGAATTGTCAAAAAAATTTTTTTTTAAAGTCTAGGCAGGTTAACATTTTTAAACTCGGGGAAGATACTCAAACACGAAAAAAAGTTTTTTTTTTGAATTCCTAAAGGAAATTTTATTTTCTAAAATTTAGTAAGTTGATATTTTATTAATCAGAGAAGATACCCAAAATTTTTGTTTTTTTCATTAAATCCCTTGCGGAACCTTAGGGCAAGAAAAATTAAAAAGAGCCACAGATTTTAATTTTTATTAAAATGGAGATTAAATTATATTAATTTTATATATTTTTTTAACCCGAAATTTAATTTTCCCAATTAAAATCCATCCTTTTCGGAACCTCAAAGCATTCAAAATTTCCAAATTAAAATAAATTTTCTTAAAAAATTTAGTTATGGAACTCTGCCACGTTAATTACATCAACAACCCTTTCATTACCAACAACTAGCGGCGACGATTCGTCAGAACTTGAAAAAATTGCTGCCACAGATTCAAATTCTATTATTGACGGTCGCTATCAATTTAAAAGAAAACATGGCTGTAGATACAATGCACCAACCCCTCGTAATTTACTCAATGAGCGTCAACAACATTTGTCTATGCTTAATGACGAGCTTAGCACTTTTCGCTGTTTTTCAGCAAGGTTTTTTATTTTTATTTTGTGGCCCTTTTTATTTTTGTTATCATGGGGGTGGTGACTACGCTCGATGTAACCTACTAGTCTTCTGAAGGGTTCGACCGCTGTCCCTTGTGAAAGGAATCGGGAAGCTCACGCGAAACTCGCATGGCCAACCCGAATTCCCCACAACAACCGTTCCCAGCATAACGGTTGTTGTGGCCTGTAGGATCACACTCTAGTCTTCTTTAATGCCGTGTCTACATAAAAAGCGTCTTGCGACTAAAAATAGCATTTAAAAGAAGGAGAGACAAAATCGCGTCTCTTCATTCCCAATGCTATTTTTGCCGCAAAACGCAAGTTTATGTAGACACGGCATGAGGAGAGGTTAAAAATTTTTTTACCTTTTACCCACATCAAGAATCCCTTAAAAATTTTAATATCCTTCTTTTTTAAGGTTTACTCAGGAAGTCTGCAATGAACCAGTTAATGAAGCCCCCACACAAAGGTTGAGGGGATTTGTTGGCAGGCGTATAGGCCGAGGAGGCCGCCAAATAATTGATCTCTTTTATTTACCTTCAAATTCTTCTACTCCTCCTCCTCTTCTTCTTCCTCCTCCCACAAATAGCAGAAATACTGAACGGATCTCTTCCGCGAAGAATGTATAAAAATATTTTTGACACACTGTCTTTCTCCTCCCTTTTTATCAGTCTCGCTTTCAAAAAAATTCTTTTTTTTTGGGCGTTAACATTTCATTTGACTCTCTATTTTTTGGGGTTGATTACCTATATTAGGAATAAGTGCTTGGAAAATATTTTTTAAAGGTCTAGGCTTTCGGAAATTTTTTTTTCTAATTTTTTGTTTTACCTAAAACGGGTTACAGAAAAAAATTTTTAATTTTTGGGAAATTTTAAAAACATTCAAGGTCACGGACGTTGACTAAAATTATTTTCTTTATTAATTTTGTTTTGTCTAAAATAGGTTACTAAATTGTCTAGTTCCAAGCACTTAATTTTAGGAGGTATGTGGTTACTCAAACTTTTTTTTAAAAAAATGTGGGATAATTTTTTTATATCTCCACAGCAGGGATGGCCAGGAAATACATCTAACAATAAAATTGATTCATGAAATAAAAAAGGATCTCCATCCAAAGCCATCCCTACGTAAGCTTCCAAAAAGTTAGGTAATTTAGGCCCATGACAGGTGGAGGATCTTAGGAAAAATCTTTTTCGATTTTTTCTGATTTTTCTTTGGTTATGTGTGCCTAATTCCCACATATCTCCTTCTATCAACCCCTTGTTGTTATTGTTAAACTTTCAATAAAAAATATATTTTATTTTAAAAAAAAATTCCTTCCCCTCCACTGCTGTTTGGCATTGTATTTTTGTGTGTGTGTAATTCTACCCACCTGTATTTTTACACATCCAAAAAATATATATATTCTTCCAAAATTTTTTTTTCTAATTCGGATGTTACGAGTGTTAAACCATATATAAATTCAGGATTTTATTGTTTTCTCTCTCCATTTTCTGTTTTTTTTTTTAATTTTTTTTCGTCTTTTTCTCAATAAATGATTATATTTAAAAATGAGTAATTTTTTTGAGATCTTCCTTTTTAAAATAATAATTTTTTCTTAAAGTAATATTAATCAGCGTAGCAATAATCCGCCTTATTGTGCTAAATTTGGAAGGATTTTATTTAAATTTAAGTTTATTTTAATTTATGGGTGTTTTCTGGTAGTGAGCTAAAAATTAGAACATTTTCCGGAAAATACAATGTTTTCATAATATTAAAATAGCAATTCCGGAAATGATTTTTACTAATAAATACATCTCCCAATAAATGTATTTTCCGGAAAAACATTTTCCTAAAGGTTGCGTTTTTAAAGGAAAAGACTCCGTAAATATTTATTTTTTCCGGAAAAAGTATGAGATAAATGGTGTTTTCCGGAAAAGTAAAATACTACCGGAAATTCTTTCCGGAAAAATAAAACATTACTAGAAAATTTTTCCGGAAACCCTTAACATTACAATTCTTTCCGGAAAAACATGAGATTTCCGTCCGGAAAAATAAAATACTCCCGGAAATTCTTTCCGGAAAAAATAAAACATTAACCGGAGTTGATTTATACCCAAAGGGGTATTTAATTAATTTTATTTAATTTAAAAAAGGTTAAAAAATATACCATGATTAGTCTGTTGTCGACAAAGTAGAAGCTAAATAAATTAAAAAAATTTATTCAATAATTATTTATCAAAAATAAACCTGTCAGATTTTGTTTCAAAAGGATTATTAAGCATTTCCTCGACTTTAAAAAATAAATTTAAAAATTTTTCCAAAAAACTCACTCAAAGAATCGCTTAATCTCGGCATGTGGTAAATATGCTCACATGAATTGCGTGAATTTGGAATGATAAAACCAAAATCAAAATCAAAGCTTTTTAGTAGTCGATCCCGAAAATAGTGGCGTTCAATCATTCTTTTTTAATTATTTTTTAAAAAATTATTTTTTAAATTAAAAATAAACCTAAAATTGCTGACAGGTTTATCGCCTACCACAAATTCCATAGTTGCTCCAATGTGACTAGGAAAAAATTTTCTTAGTCAAATAAATTTTTTTGTGATTTTTTGGGACAGAAAGAAAATAAAAAGATATTAAAAAATTTTTTCTAGTCATCCCGAAAATTTATTGGAAAATTTTTTTTCTAGAATTTTGTGTTTCGTGGAATTTCTTGTGGAAAAGTTTTTTTTGGGGAAATGACTAAAAAAAATTTTGGGGATGAATAGAAAATATAAAAAGATTTTTTTCTGGAATTTTGTGTGTTTTTGTGGAAAAAATTTTTTTTAGGATTTTGTAAAGAAATTTTTTTTTGGAGAAAAAATCCGAAATAAAATTTTTTTTTTATTTTTTACTAATCCCAAAAACATTTTTCTATTAAAATTTAAAAATCCTTACCGAAGTCGTAAAAACGACGGCTTAAAATAATAACGAATAAAACGGGGAGTAAACGTCTTTTCATCATCATGGTTGTCTGTTGCTTCTTCCTCCCCTCCATTAGAATTTTCTGTTGCTTGTTCTTGTGAATTTGTATCGTCTTCTGTGGCCGAATCGTTTTCTATAAAAAATTAAATTTAATGAAAAAAAATTTAAAAAAATTAAAAAAAACCGTCAGGTTTGTTTATCTCAAAAAGAACAGTTTCAGAATCTATATCGCGCACTTTGAAGCGTACAAATTCAATATCTATAAGAAATTTTGTTATGTAGAAATCTGGAAAAAATAAAAACCATAAATATTGTCTTCTGGGCGGCATAGAAACCCTTAAAGTTAAATTAGAATTTTAAATACAAAAATTAAAAAAAAACAAATAAAGTTTGGAAAGATCAGAATTTTGGAAATTACAAATGCATTTTATAAATTTTGATTTAAAAATAGAACAAAAATTCTGATCTCGTAAATCTTATTTTTGGTAGTTTTACTAGAGTAGGGCACACCACAAAATAAAACCGGTATTTGACCAAAACTCAAAACCGAAAATCAGGGATTTTAAAATTTGATTATTCGAAAACCAGGGATACCAGTTAATAACCGTTTATGCCCTATTCCAGTTTTTACCATGTAAATTTGTCGGAAAAAATTCTGATTTTAGCCAACCCACGCAAAACACTTAAATTCTAATTTTCAAAATTAAAAACAAAATTAAAACCTTCAGTAACACAATTTAATCGTAAAACATCTTCAGGTGTAACAAATTCTTTTTCGTTTAATTCTGCTTCAGAAATTGGTCCTCTTATTATTTCTTGATTTCCATTTAAATTGGGCATTTTCTGAAAAAAAAAATTTTTTTTAATTTAAATTTATTAAAAATAAAAGAAAATTTTTGGAATTTTTTTTAAACCAAAAAAATTTTTTTAACAAAAATTAGTTACAAAAATAAAATTTAATAAAAGCAAAAACTATATTTTCAAAGTTGTCAAGGCAACATGAGAAAATTAAACAAAATTAAAAACCCCCTCTTTATTCTTCTCCCACACCCCACCAAACTTTTATTAAATGTAGAAAATAAATAAAAATAAAAAATAAATATTCTCTCTTCTGTTTAAAAACAGCAATTTGAAAAAAAATAAAATAAATAGAATAGGTATTTAATTATTTAAATTATATACTGCATGAAGAAAAAATTTTTTTTGAGCTTTTGAAAAAATTTTGAAAATTTTTTTACCTTTCGAAAAAATTTCTTCAAAAATTTTCGAAAAAATAAAAAAAAAATTTTCAAAAAAATCCAAAAAAATTTTTTCTCAAAAAAATTTCATAAAGCACCCAGTCCAACAAAAATAAATTTTAAACATCCAATTCTTATTAATGCTCCACTCCACAAAGTCGAAGAATTTTTATATGAAGGAATTAAATATTGAGATTCATTTAAATCTTCTTCCAATTTTATTTTTTGGTTTAAACACGAACAAATATTTTTATCACAATTTTTAAGCAGTTCGTTGTAAGGAGTTAAAGCCACCATTTCAAACGCTAATTTACACTAAAAAAATATTAAAACTTGGATTTAATTAAAAATGTTTGTTCAGATTTAATGTTCAGATTTAATTCTGGTTTATTTATCCTTGTGTTTTTCTGTTTGGGATTCTTTTTTGTTTGAACAAAAGTATTTAATAAAAATCAGAACAGAGAGAAAACATGAAAATTAAAATTAAAAAAATCAAATCAGAATTAAATTTGAACATAACATTAAAAATAAAAATCAAAAAAAAAACAAACAACAAAACAGAAATCAGAATATTGAAACAAGGAATAGACAAATCAGAATTAAATTTGAACATTACAAGCAATCAGAATTAAATTAGAACACTTAATAAAAATCAGAACAAAAACACAACAAATACAATATTAATAAAACAAAATCAGAATATTAAATAAAAAACATAAACATAGAGGGATAAACAAATCAGAATTAAATTAAAACACTATATGAAAAATAAAAATCAGAATATTATAAATAAAAACAAACAAAAAACAGAAAAACAAAGAAAGAAAAAAATCAGAATTAAATTTGAACTTACATAAAATCAGAATAAAATTAAAAAACTAAATGAAAATAAAAATCAGAACAAAAACACAACAATTAAAAACATACGAACATAAAAACAAACAAAACATTAAAATCAGAATTAAATCTAAACATTACTTAAAATCAGAATAATATTAGTAAAACAAATCAGAATTAAATTGCAACAGAAAAAAATCAGAATAAAATTCAAACACTAAATAAAATAAAAATCAGCACAAAAACACAACAATTAAAAACATACAAACATAAAAACAAACAAAACATTAAAATCAGAATTAAATCTGAACATTACTTAAAATCAGAATAATATTAGTAAAACAAATAAAACACAGCTAAAAACAAATATTCTGATTTTATTCAAGTTTATTTGAACAACCTTGTCAAAGAAAATTAAAACACGTTGCCTTTGTACTTGTCTACATGAAGAAAAAAGACTTTAAAAATAAAAAAAAATTATTTAAAAAATTTAGAAAAAAAACCTCAAATCAATACAATTATTTTTTAATGTTAATCCACTTCCAATTGTAACAAATTTTGATTGAATTGGAATTAAATAATTTTTAATACTTTTTTCTTCAACTAAATCCGCACCAGAAAGTAATTGTAAAGCAGCATAAACAGGCAATTTATTATTTAATAAATCTTTTTGAGTAAAATTATTTTTTTTTTTAGATTTAAATAATTTTTTTTAAAATAATTTATTTAATTCTTCAAAGCCTCAAAAACTAATTGATTTTGGCTTCGAAGAGGACAAAGGCAAAAACTAACAAAAAAAGTGACCAATCTCTACACTATAAGACCAAAAAAATGCAAAATTAATTTTCTTTCTCTGCTATTTTTCATTTCCAACGGTTCGGGAGGAGCCTACTGGAGACTCCGAGGGACTCTTAGTTATTTAAAGAAAATTTGCTTTTTAAATATTTTTTTAATTTTTATTTTTTAATTAAAAAAAAATAATAAAAACCTGGATGAAAAATGGGAACTACATTATCATTGTATAGTTTACATAGAGAAATAGGCTCTGACTTGACTAAACTGAAATAAAATTAAAATTTAAAAAAAAAATAAAAAATTCCAAACCTAATAGCTTTCCCATTATTCCTCATTCCAATCAATATATTAGCTGCTTCAGCATCTTTCAATTCATTTTCAAACATATCCCGAGTATTTTGAGAATTTTTATAAGCTTCCTTTACTTTTTTATTCACTTCAAACGTTGTTTTTCCAAATTTCAAATTTTTTCCAATTCTTTTGACAATTTTTTCAGGTTCTTCCAAACAAATATTTGAATCATCCTCAGTCACTTTTTGGTCTTTTTCGTCTTTTAATTTTGTACAAAAATCGTAAAAAACAGCCAAGGGCTCTGGTTTATCCAATTTATTGTGTTCTTTCCATAAAGCTATTCGGTCGGTAACCCTTAAAGAGTTGACAAGATGGGAATCCTAAAAAAATATTTTTTGATTATTTAAATGACAAAAAATTTTTAAAGAAAACCAAAAATTGTTAATAAAATATATTTTTGAAAATAAAAACAATTTAAGAGGATGGATGGATCGGGATATCGAAACCCGATACCTAGAAAAACCCAAACCGGCTTTTTATTTCTCTCCTGACCCAGACTTGTTTGGTACTTATTTAGTTTCCCACCCCCAGTCAGTTTTTCCGAAAATTGTGTAAAAATGGTCAGTCTGAACAACAATTGTAGAACCCATCGAGCTATGGCGAATGACACCAAAATCAACGAAATCGGACAAGATTTGACGAAGTTATGACATTATTTAGACCTACCGGAGTCGACGACTTATGTCATAACTTTGTCAAATCAAGTCGGATTTCGTTGATTTTGGTCTCATTCGACTCAGCTCGACGAGCTCTTTCAAATGAGCTATCATTTGTATAGATTTTCGTCTTTATGATTTTGTGCCCTGTGGTTTAGGGGGCTGTATTTCGGTCAAATCAAGTCGGATTTTGTTGATTTTGGTGTCATTCGACATAGCTCGATGGGTTCTACAATTGTTGTTCAGACTGACCATTTTTACACAATTTTCGGAAAAACTGACTGGGGGTGGGAAACTAAATAAGTACCGACTTGTTTCAAGTCAAAAAAAGCCAAACTGGATTCACATCCACAAACTCGTCATCGAAAACTAAACTAAAAACCAGAATGACAACACATAAAAGGTTAACAATTAAAAGACTAAATTTAATAAAAAAAATACCTACAACAAATTTCTCAACATGTAAAGGACACATAAACCGTTCATTCGAGCAGGCAGTTAATGGAGGTGTCAAACAATCAAAGCAAAACTTTGCATGGCAAAAATCGCAAGAAATAACATGTTTTTCTTCTAACCTAAAAAATTATACAACTTGAAGAAAATTTTGACCGCAAAAAATTTGCGGACAGATTTTTTTCAACTAAATTTAAAAGAAAACCTTCGACAATAAAAACACGATTTTTTGGCCAAATTTTGATCATTCTTTAAATTAAATAATTCATCAAAAGGTAGTTTATAATAACAATCATCCACTCCAAGACTTCCTAGTGAAAATTCTCTGGAATTTAAAGCACGCATGGCCTTTGCAAGATCCCTCAACGTTTTGTTTTTGTAACGATTTTTGATCAAAAAGCGAATAAAAATTTTGTTGTGGAAATCTTCTCGTTGTTGTGGATCCTTTAAAAATGAAAAAATTTTGATGGGAAAATCAATAGAGAGAGCTAGGTAGAAGTTCAGCCACGGGCAGGCATCAACCACGTACAGGTTCTCTATCGACTGACATGAGCTACCGGAGGGACTGCTCTCACCTCCTTTTTTCAATAAATTTTAGCCACCGTCTAGTAAGCGCCTTATATACTAGATAGTTGGATTTATCTTCTTACTTAAAATAGATTCCCTTAACCCGCTAATTTTTTGAAGCTTTTCCTTCGAGAAGACGCCAAACAGAGTAAAGAGTCTTACATTAATAAAAAATTAAAATACAAACCTGACTGTTTAAATGTGCAATATATTCAAATTTTTGAGAAATTTCCATTTGACATCTATTACAAATCCAATTGCGAGTATCCACCCTTTTATTATTCACCATCAAAGGAGGAAAGTGGCAAACAAAATGGAATGAAGATTTGCAGCGAGTACAAGTATATAATTTGCCTCCAACAAGTTCCTAAAGAGAATTTTTTGTATTGTGACTTATAGGTGATCTTATATTTTTTATATTCGACTTAACCCAAAAATCAGCTTGGCCCCCCCCCCATGATATTTAACCTTTTCGGGACCTATAACTCGGAAAATGATTGCAGGACCTACTTCTCCCCACTAGTTTGACTCAGTTTTCAAAGACTCATCCGAATGACATCCCAGGCCCGTAGCCTCCTTGGCCCCCCACCCGAAAAAAATCCTGGCTACGGGCCTGTGACATCTCATTCATTGAAATCGGACCAGAAAGGAAACTAAAAACAAGAAAAAGAACCCTAGAAGTCATACCATTAAAATTTTAAGAAAATTAAAAAAAAAATACCAAACAAGAGCAACAATAATTTCCATCTGGACTGGACCTCCCAGAAGAATTTGTGGAACGTTTTTGTTGTGGACTTTGAAACGTTTTTTCTATATCTAGAGACAATCCTGCATCTTTATCGTAAACAATGCTTACATTACGATGTTTAGATTCGTAGACAAAAGACATTTTAAGTAGAGTTTTGATTAAATCTGAAAAGAAAATTGAAAAAATTCAAGAAAAAATCAAAAATTCACGAAGGACTTAAAATTAGAAATCGGCATGGGACCGGAACCCGTACGGGATTTTACGAGATCCTGTCCCAAACTCCCTTATTTTAAGCAACTAAAGGGATTATCGGAGTTTACGGGATTAATCCCGCAGGATCTTGTCCCGTAAAAATTTTGAAAAAAAAAACCCGTTACGGACCTTGGAAATGCGTTTTGCCGACCTCTACTTAAAATAATCAAGCAAGTTTTATTCAAGACTCTAGTATACTCTAAACAAAAACTTTTCTCTAACTCTCTCATATTCTCTCTTTTCCCCTTATCTTTTTCACATAACCATTTAACTACAGCAGTTTCAGTGCCAATTTATTGAGTGTAGTGTATTTGCGAACTAATAAACGCTCTCAAACGTCCACTGCTTTTTGTTTAATTTAAAAGCGTTTTTTCAATTTTTTCAATCTTTCTAAAAAATTTTTGTGTAATTTTTTGTAATTTATTTTTCATATTTTTCTTTTTTTAGGCCTTATAAACGGTTACTAACTTTATTATCAACAAATTCTACACGGCAGACTTAGCCTAACTTAAGAAAAATTTCAACAACAGTCTACAAAACAACAAATATTGCAACAACAATAATTCACAAATTTTGAAGAATGCTTTCCATAAAACTACTTTTAATACAAGGCAAGATTAAAAACAACAAAAATATGCGAGTTGGATGTGTTGGAAATAGAGATCGGAATTTTGAAAAAACCGGGACCGGGAACGGGTTCTGAAGGTCGACCGGGAGGGACCCGGACCGGGAAAACCGGGAATTCCCGTTCCCGGTTTCATCCCGGCGTCTTCAAAAAAGCCGGGAAACGGGGAAACAGCCGGGAAACAGGACCGGGTCCCGATCCTTTCCGATCTCTAGTTGGAAATTTTAAATGGGGAGGAACGAGAGGTGGGCGTATTTATTTAATTTAAAAAATGTCCGCAAAAACAACAAATTTTGCAGACTTTCTTAGAAGTTCTGGTCTTTTCCGTTATGCCACACCCCCCCCCCCTAAGCTCGTCAAGCTCTCCGAATGAGCTCTTAAATGCCTATTTGAATTTTTACTCAAAAATGAATTTACTCCCCCCTATGGTTTTTGATCATTTCGAGCCCTATATGTTGGTCCACAGGCATCTGCGGGGAAAAAGAGTGCTACTTTTCGACTCATCACCTTTTTTACCCCATATATGGCATTTTGAACATTAATTTAGGGGGTGTGGTATAACGGAAAGTACACAAGTGCTGGTTTTTTCATTTTAAAATTTATTTTAATATTTCTCTCTTCCGTCTCATTTTTTCTCATAAGAACGCTATTACCTTTAAAATATAGGTTTTTGAAAGAATGATTAATCAAAGCCTTTAAACCCTTTTATTATTTTTTTCTCCTACCACCTTCACCACCTATCAACTCACAAACCTTTATTTTAATACTAACCTTTCTTACTCATTTTTTTCGGGAATTTTTTGTGTTTGCAAATAGAAACGAAGGCTTTATATCATTCTTTAGGGGAGATTTTTTGGACAAAAAATTTTTATTTTTTTCTAAACTTTCTGGTACTTTTCCGTTAATCGACCGCAAATCGAGCACCAGCCGACTTTTGAACGGCTTTAACTTTTTGATGCGTGATCCAATACAAGTAAATTTATATCATTCGGAAGCCCTCGATAAGCTCTATCTTTTACCTAAATGTATGGATCAGGTCTGATCAATCATAAAAAAGTTACAAGTCGATAAGTGCAAGAGATCGTTGATTTCACAGTTATCGGGGTATAACTTTTTTATGAGTGATCAGAGCTGATCCATACAGTCGGGTAAAAGATAGAGCTTATCGAGAGCTTTCGAATGATATAAAATTCATTCGTATTGGATCAAGAATAAAAAAGTTATAGCTGTTCAAAGTTGGCTGGTACTCAGTTTGCGGTCGATTAACGGAAAAGTACCAAAAAATTTTTTTATTTTTTTAAACTTTCTTTACCTTTTTTCTTGTTTACCTCAATAATTTATTTTTTTAAATATAACCTTTTGTCCTCAAAGTGCCAATTTCTTTTTTTTTCACACTTTTTTGACTTAAATTTTGGGTAAGTCAATTTAGTTGCCCTTAGCGAGAAAATATTTTTAAAAAAGTTTTTAAAGTGTTTAACTTGTAACCTTTTTATTTTTATGAATAGACACATTTTGGGGGTATTGACAAAGAAAAAGGTGTGAAAATGAGTAAACTTAAAAGGTAATTTTTTTCGTCTGAATTTTTGAAAATTTTCAAAAAATATTTTTTGGAAATTAAAAAAAATTTTCAGAATTTTTATTTTTTTAATTTTTCGGAAATTTTGATTTTTTTAAAAATTTTTTAAATTTTTTTTTTATTTTTTGGAAATTTCGGAAATTTTTTCTGAAATTTTCAACCCCCCCTTACATTAATTTCATAACCTTTTAAATTATTCCTCATTCACCTCAACTTATTTTTTTCTGGATGAATAATTGAAATAAATATACCTCAAATTGTTTTACTGCACGCAAACCTAGTTGCAAACACGAAAATGCGTTAATGATATGGTAATAAACGGAAGTTGTAAATTAATATAGGGGGAATATTTACTTGTATTTTCTTTGTTTTGTTAAATAAATATCAGAATAAAACTTGAACATAAACATACTCTAGATTTTTTTGTTTATACGGAAGCCAGAATTTTATTTGAACAAACCAGAATTTTATTCGAACATACTATCTTTCTTATGTGAAACCAGAATTTTATTTAAACAGTCAGAATTTTATTTGAACATACGAAAAACTTTTTACGAAAAACCAGAATTTCATTTGAACATACTACATAGCTTTTTTTCGATAAACCAGAATTTTATCTAAACTAAACCAGAATTTTATTTGAACATTCAAATAAGTCTACAAAAATATTAAACCAGAATTTCATAAAAACATTGCAGAAAAATACAGAACAACACCAATTAATTTTTGTTCATGTTTTAATTTTATTCTGATTTTTTTTGGTATTTTTCTATTTTAAACTTGTTTTTAAATCCCTCAATAATTAATGCCCATTATTACCCCGCTCAATTAAAAATACTTTTATTTATATAATTTAAATTTATATATAACAACCTAATCCTCACATTTATTTCTAAACTCTTCTCGGCATTTTCTCTTATTTTTTTTACTTAGGCATTAATAACTCAACTAAAATAACTTGTCAATCCCATAGCCCAAGAGTGCATTTAGCCGCGCAATTTAGTCTCTCCCTCTCTCTCAGGTGGCTTTACTTAACCGTTTCCGTAAGCTTTACTTTTCTCGATTAATTTTATTGAATAATGAAACCCTTTAAATAATTTTTTGAGGCATGTACTGGACATATTTTTTTACTTAATTTGTGTTTATTAAGGTTGAGTAGACTACTTAACACAAACAATTTTAATTCCTCTGTAAAATTAAATCAGAACAACAACTTATTTTTTCTGAGTCAACCGGAAACGTTTATTAATTATTTTCTATTTCCGGAATTCAACCGAAAATTTTTTTATTATTTTTATTTCTTCCGGAATTCAACCGGAATTTTTTTTTATTATTTTTATTTTATTTCCGGACTCCAACCGGAAATCTTTCTATTTTTATTTCTTTCGTAATTCAGCCGGAAAGAGTTTTATTATTTCTATATTTCCGGAATACAACCGGAAAAACTAATTTATATTTATTTTATTTCCGGAATCCAACCGGAAAGCTTTATATTCTTATTTTATTTTCGGACTCCAACCGGACAGATTTTTATTTTTATTCTTTCCGGAATTCAACCGGAACGCTTTTTATTTTTATTTATATTTCCGGAATCATTTTTCTGATTTTTAGAATCAGCCTGAACATTTAATGCATCCTGAATAACCGGAAAACTAATTTATTTTCACTGTACCCCTTTCTACTCAGATTTTATTTTTAATTTGTACCCCACTAATTTTTAAAAAAATCTCACCTTTTTTCTTTACTCCATAAAAATGTCAAATCCTCCTCCTCTTAACATTTTTTTATCCACACATTACCTTAAAATTATTCTAATATATTTATATTTATTTATCCAACTCCTCTTAGCACATTCATTTTTCATTTAATTTCCCTAATGTGTGTAAATTAATCTTTTTTTTTCTCAACAAATATTTTTCTTTACTTTTTTTTACTCCTCTAGGTTGACATAAAAATGCAACATCAAAGAAATGTTAATTTTTTTCTATTATTTACAGATATAAATTTTTAATTTTTTTGGCTATAGGATCTTTATTTCCCTCCAAAATATCCATTCCAAAATTTTTTTTAAATTCTTTGTTGATCATTATTTTTATTTTTGGCCGTTGGTCAATCAATCACTTGGTGTGTTTAATTAAAACAGTTTACTCATTCTTGACTTT